CCTGAGTCCACAGTCCACATTTGCTGCCTGTATTCTCTGCAGGATTTCAGTGACTCTGGAGATGGATCTTCCGGTTCTGTGTCCTGCAGTGGGGTGAGTGGCTGTATCCACAGGATTATGAATGATAGAGATACTCGATGCAGGCATAGGAGGGCACTAGGTTCCCATGGACTTTTAATTCATCCTTCTGTTTCCAGTTCCATCACTTATTGAGGATGTTTAAAGCTTCTCCTGCTTTGGAGTCCTGATCCTGCAGCGAGGATGCACCACAGATGGGCTATTTCCTCCACCAGAAGGCCCTCCTTGCTCGTGGAATTCTGGGGTCCCCTGTCTACCTTCATAGGTCATCCCTCCTCCCTCCACGTTTGATCTTCCAGAAATCTGTTGAAAGTTCTAAAGCTTGGATGTTCTTCCTCTGGTTGTTTTTGTTATTGTGGATCTACGTCTTTTTTCCCCCCTTTAATTTAAGTGGAGTTTTTTGGGAAGGAAGGGAACAGAAAGAGCCTGCAGTCAGTCTACCATCTTGAAATGCATGTCTAGCCTCTTTTTTTTTTTTTTTTTTGGTGGTGCTGAGGATTGAACCCAGGGCCTTGTGCATGTGAGGCAAGTACTCTGCCAACTGAGCTATGCCCAGCCTCTTGATGATTATTCCATTTCTATAAATCAGGGGTTCTATGCATAAGAATTTATATGGCTCCAATACTGGCTCCATAATAGTAAAAAACCTGTGTCTTTGGTGACATCTAAAAGCCTGGTGTGAAAACAGGCCCTGTTTTTGAGGTCACTGAATGTGTTTAATGTCACCTGGTACTTTTGATGGTATGTAAAGCAGGGAAGTCAAGGATGACCCAGCATAGAAGATGAGGCAGTACTTTCTAGATATAGAAATGTATACAAATAGGAAGCTGCTGAGAGAAATTTCATCTTGTTCCTGATCAAAATGACAGCATCTTCTTGTATCCTTTTACTTCGCCACAGATTTAATGTTCTTTGTCTCAGTTTATTCTAGTTGCTTTAACAAAATGCCATAACTGGGTGGGTACCTTGTAAACAACATTTATTTCTTAGAGTTCTGGAGTCTGGGAAGTCCAAGATCAAGGCAGTGGCAGGTTCTCTGTCTGGTGAGGACTTGCCTCATGATTCAGAGATTCATCTTCTCGCACTGAACTCATGTGATGGAAGGGCCAAGGCAGCTCTCTAGGGCTTCCTTATAAGAACACTAACCCCATTCATGCAGGATCTAATCATGCACACCCAATACCATCACAGTGGGGATTAGAGTTCAACATATGACATAAGCATTCTGTCTATAGTAGTCTTCTTATAAAATAAATATAAAGAAAATGAGAGAAGGTCTGAGACCAGAGACTGAAGTAGTTTTTCAAACTATTATCTATTACCCAAGGTAAATAGCTTTTGCCAAATAGTAATTTTGATACATGTTCTCTTTCTCTGTTTCATTAACAACATTATTTATTTTTAACAGTTTGCATTGATATGTGAGTTATGAGATATGGGGTACATTGGGATGTAGGCCATGTTTAATCTGTACATTTAAAAACTTTTTCAAAAGCATGCACAGGAAACATGCTGTACAGAAAATTTCTGCTTTGCTTTTGAAAGTGTTGCTTATAAATTTTGCTATCAAGTGACACTAGTTTCTCTCTGGAACGCCAGCTATTAAAAGCGCATCTTGAATGGGAATTCAATTGAAATTCAACTGCACTGTTTGTTTTTCTACCCATACTGACTCTGTTTTCCTTCCTTTCATTGTCTGTAGGCCAGAAAGCAGATCTTCTGTTTGTTCGGTCTAAGCAATTCACACTTCAAAGAGAAGATGGAAGAAGTGATCAGGTTTGCTTGAGGTACGACTGTGGAACTACAGGCAGTGAAGACCTTCCTGCTCGCCAGGAGGAAGGAGTACATTCAGTGAGTGTCCAGAGGAGGAAGGCCATATGGTGGGGAATCCTGATCCTAATGGGATCAATGCCCAGAGTGACTCTGTACACCCAATGTGAAAAGTTGAATGCTGTGCTTGTTCTGGGGCCTTCTCATGTTTCTATCTTGAATCTGGTTACCTTCCAGATTCCAGGCTGTTTTATAGTTTCATTTTGATTTTTGCTTGTGTGCTAATTTGTTTCTTGGTGATGGTATGAGGAGAGCCATTACATGATCTGAAAACCTAGGTTTTCAGTGTGGTCTTGGTAATGGCTGGGGTGGGCTGTAATCTAATATCATTCCTGAATGAAAGTCTCATATGTTCTTTCAGTAGTATATTTATGAGTTTACCTCTGGATTAGTCTTCTTATTTGTTAATATTTGCCTTGATACCAAATATTAGATCACGAAGGCAGATGCAATTTGAGTTGGGATAAATAGGCAGCCTTCCAAGACAGATTCCTTTAGTTGATTGATACCTCCCGGAATTTATACTTTGAAGTCCCCTATCCCCATAGAGTGTAGACTGGACCAAGTGACTCATTTCTAACAAATAGAAATCACCAAGAGTGACAGGATATCGCCTCTGAGATGAGGTACAGAAGTGACTCATGTCTTGCTCTTGTTCTCACTTGCTCACTGATGAATCCAGCTGCCATACTGTGGGCCACCTAAGGAGAGAGACCCACCTGATAAGGAACTTCAGGTTGTACTGAATTGAGGCCCTAGGGAACAATAGCCCATAGGAAACTAAACCCTACCAACACACGCATGCTTGTGCTTAGAGGGATCCCTTCCTTCCCCATTGAGCCTGCAGACCCATTGACTGCAGCCTGTGCAGGATCTTTAGCTGGTGAACCCAGCTAAACTGGGCCCAGAGTCCTGATCCACAGAAGCCACGAGATAACAGATGTTTGTTGGTTTGAGCCACTGAGTTTTGGGGCAACCTATTAAGCAATAAAACAAGTGCTATGGTTTGGTATGGTTCAAGTGTATCCCCCAAAGCTTCATGTGGTGGAGACTTGCCCAGTGGGAGCATGTTGAGAAGAGTTGGAACTTTATAAGGTGGAGCCTGGTGGAAGGTAATTATATCATGAGGGCACCACCTCTGTGAAGGGCTTAATGCAGATCTCCTGGCCTTGGATTAGGTCCCATGAGAATGAGTTGTTCTCATTCTCAAGAGCAAGATGGACTGCCTTGGCTTACTCTGAAGCTTCCTGTCTGATCATGTACACTCCTGCCATTGTGGTGCCATCTTCCATGAGACCCTCACCAGAGCCAAGCAGATGCTGGCACCCTGTAGCTCCAGAACTGTGAGTTAAATAAACACCTTAGCTGGGCCTGGTGGTGCACGCCTGTAAACCCAGAGACTCAGAAGGCTGGGGTAGGTGGATTGCAAGTTTGAGGCAGCCTAAGCAACTTAGCAAAACCCTGTCTCAAAACAAAATAAATAGGGCTGGAGATGTAGCTCAGTGGTAGAGTGTAATACTAGATTTGTGGGATCCCAATAGACCTCCAGGAGCCAAATCCGATGCAATCACACAAGAGTCTTTATTGCAAGCTCGAGCCTGGACTTACAACCGTTTCCGATGCAGTGGTCCCGAGGAATGAGTCCTGACCCTTAGTTCAGTGAGGATTTGTAGGTTTTTTTGGGGATACTCTATGCATCACAACATCACACAGCGAATCATTTCATACCGCGAGAAAATCAAACAACAACTCTTAACTTTGATTAGCACATTCACTGTCGGGAACAAGTTGGGTAAGGGTGATTGGTTAGTTCAAGGGGTAGAAACATTTGAACTGATTGGTTTAGGCCCAGTTGTAAGAGTGTATATGCTAAACTGAAGGGTGGCCTAATCATGTTATCAATCATGAAACTACTGGGAGGGTCACCTGGCATTTCAGATATTTTCCCTGTCAAATGCTGATTGGTGGTTGCTAGAGGGTTGCTATAGGTCCTCACCTAGTGTAACTGAGTCAGGGACACCTGGTGCTGCAGATCCCTCCTGTTAAAAAACTCAGCAGGGTTTGTATGTGCCTAGGAGCACATACTTGTGGGTTTTTCCAAGGACAAGGGTCATGCCCCCTCCCTCTACACAGGCCTTGAGGTAGAAGCTGGTTTCAAAAATGGAGTCATATCAGTTTCTCAAGAGCACTTACTTTCCTTGTGTGTATGAGTTCCTGAGACCATCCCCAGTACCATAAAATAAAATAAAATAAACATTTTGTCTTTTGAAATATCCAGTCTCAGATTTTTTTTTTACAGCAACAGAAAAGAGACTAAGACAATAACTCATATAATTCTAATATAATAGTTGCCAAACTTGGAAGCCTGCATTGGATAAAACCATTTTTAAATGATTTATTTAATTTGCTTTGAGAAAAGAGTATAAATATAGTGAGAATGATTTTTTTTTCCTCTAAGAAGATCTAGAGAAACAAGCTGCTAATGTTGAAAAAGAAAGGGAGGAAGGTGGGAATTTGTGATGAGTTCAAATATGTCTAACTTTCTGCCGGTCATTCTCCTTTTCTAGTGTGTAAAAGAAAGGTTTTACAGTTAAAGAATCTATTATGTGTGCTGCCAAAAAATGGTAGGTTAAGACTGATTTTTTTTTAGCTTAAGCTGATTTTTGCAAGCTTATCTGTATCTCCTATTTAGAAGAACTTTATAAATGATTAAGAGAATTAAAGAGGAAGATGTGAAACAAAAAGAGAATCTGAAAGATATTGATGATGAAAATGTGGCATTTGAGCCCAACATACTGAGGATTGCTCTGTAAATGTTCTCACCTCCATGCCTATAAACTCATCTTCACCTCCAAATGAGGAAGGCAAAGGCACACACTGTTTTGTACATGCACCTCGGAAATGAATACATTGGGTAGTCTTTCGTGCTAGATGAAGTCAGACAGATGAGATAATCCTGCTTTGATGTACCCTGTTCTGGATTCTGGATTCAAGGAGGGGTTTGATAAGAGTAAGTAGGAAGAAGAATAGATTTGAGGAAGTAGAGATGAAACTTCCTCTTCTTTTGAAATAGCTTTATTTTCTTGTCAGCTTCTGATGTAGTGCTGTGTAGACTGAGCCTCCCGAGTGACTGCTTCGAGTGGAATCCTCAACATTTGCCTCAGAGTATTATGAATTTTCTGAACTCAGAGATAAAGAGAAAGTTCTTGGATTTACTCTCTTTATATTGCATGTAAGTAAAGTCCCCCTTTGGCTAATATATGAGAAGTAATTGCTTGGCGTATCAAGATGGCACAACAATTGATGCCCTAGTACTATCTTTACAACCCTCAGGTTTGAAATGTGACTCTTGGAGGTGGTATTTGCTCAACTCTTTTTACACCTGCTGCTGTGAAGGCTGCTGTTCTTATTCTGCAAGAGCTTTGAAGGAGAGAGCTGTGTACTCATTCTGCTTTTCTTTTCCTAAATGGGTGTTGAACTCACAGCTGGTCTGACTGTAGGCCACCATTTGATTTAGAAAACCTCAATTCAGTATTTGTTTGGATACAGATGAGTTCATTTGGGGAAAACTCTGTGGCCACCATCTGTAGAGAAAGCATGTTCTTTGTGGAGAATCCCCCTTTGCATGCAGATAGCTAGAGGGGATTTTGCTTTTAGATAAAGGTCACAGGCTAGACAGAATATCTCATATGAATATGAGGGATGAGTGTTGGTTCACAGGCTTTTACAGAAGACATCAGAAGTGTGTGATTTCCTTTTCTTGGTGTGTGTAATAATTTAATTATAGGAGTCAGAATTATAACCCAGCAAAGCAGAAGTGAACTTTAATAGTCTTTAGGGGCCTATGAATTCCTAGTACCGTCCCAGCCATTTTGTAGTGATATGGAGTTTGGTTCCTATTTTAATTAGAAATAGAAATGGAAAGAGTGCAGGTTTCTTTCTGCTCCCATCGTTCAAGTGAGGAAGAAAGGGACTTAAGGTTGTGCTCTTGTTGATATATTCATTCTTTATCTTTTAATTTCCTTCCTTTCCTTAATATGTCAAGCATCTCTTCTGCAGAAGGTCCACGTATGAACATTTCAGGCAAATTGCATTAAGCAAAAGCACATCACCAGAGTATGGAAATAGGAAGTTCTTTCCTGTGGTAGTTTGCTGTGGCAATAAGAGATAAGAAATTACTTCACAATGATTGCCTGAGACTTTCCTTTTGACTTGTGTGTCCTTCTTGAAGCGCTCACTTCTGCTTTTCATCCAGCTTGGAGGCTCTGCAGTGTGAGCTGGTAACCAAAACACAAGTTGAGAATTAGCAAATAATTGCAAGGTGCAATATGATGTGTGTGTGTGTGTGTGTGTGTGTGTAGAAAATAAGGTTTTTAGTGTTGTAGAAAATTCTGCAAGTGAGGGAATTACTGTACTTCTGGTCCTCAGAAAAGTTAACTTCCATATACTATGTTTTCAGTAATTATTAATTGAATGGATGAATGACTGGTAAGATTCATGACATGAATGCTGTTGGGTAGCTTTGCTTTATGTTTGTTACCCAGGTACCTTAGAAAATAAAGATTGGAGGAGATCAGTACGAAGCAAGAGAGAATAAGAAAATGTGGAGTGAAGAAAAGTATAGAAAACAGGTGATAAAAAGCCCTAGGTGGGCAAAGTGAAAGGGATTGCATATGGTAGTGGAGGTGATGGTAGAGATGGTGGTGGTGGTGGTGGCGGAGGTGATGGAGAAGGTGACGGTAGAGATGATGGAAGTGGTGGCAGATGGTGGGGATGATGGTAGAAGTGGTGGTATGGTGGTGGAAGCGATGGAGAAGGTAATGGTTAAAAAGGTGGAGGTTTTGGAGGAATTAATAGAAGAGATGTGGAGGTGATGATAGAAATTATGGAGTGATTGTAAATATGGTGGTAAAGGTGATGGTAGAGATGGTGGGGGTGATATTGGAAGTGACAGAGGAGGTGATGGTAGAAATGGTGACTAATAGAGATGAGGATAGCAGAGATTGTTGAGGTGGTAATGACAGGTAGGTCAGTATCATATAGCACCCCTCCCTAACGAACAAACAAACAGTTTGCGGTCAGACACATCTGTTTAATGAATATATCTACCACTTACTAACTATAATTTATGAACCTAGAAAGTGGTGATTATAGTATTTGGGCATCATATTAGGATTAGAAATGCGATGGCATAGCGCTTGCTATTCATGGACCACTAAATGACAATTATCAGTATATATTTCTTCAGTTTTCAAATCACCATAGCCATACTTAAAAATTTGACCACAAGTTTATCTTTTCTCTTTTATGCTTTTTGCCACTTTCTAAGTTTCATAAAAGAAACACGATTCTTTAATCCTAGCTATGGTTTAATTGTGTGCCCCGCTCCCCCCCCCCCTCGCATGGAAACCTTGTTGTGGTGGTATAAAGAGGAGGAACGTTTGGGGATTCCACAAGGAAGTGGGAGGGCTCTCCTCATGACTGCTGGCAGTGCTTCCACAGAAGGGGTTGAAGGGAATGTGCCTGCCCCTTCCTCCATATGAGGACACAGAGAAGATATTATCTGTAGGATTAGCTTTGGTCTTGGGCTTCCCAGACTTTAAAATTTTTAGAAACCAAATTCTGTTGTTTATAAGCCACTGGCCCCCTATGATATTTTGTTTCAGTAGCAGGAATGAACCAAGATAATAATTTGTTAAAAAGGAATGTCATAAACATACTCATCAGCATGGTTAAGCACCTCATGATATGTCTAGATAAAGAAAAACCACCAATATAATGATATTTATGGAAACAGTTTCATAATGCACTGCTGTCAAAGAAGCTGGATGCAACTTTTTCAACTATGCAAAAATATTGCAGATAAGCAAGATTGAGGTAAAGTAGGCTAAAGTCCGTGAAGAATGGGTTTATAGCTGATGGCTATTTTTGTCTTTGTACTTTTTTTTTTTTTTTAAGTTTTGTCAGTTGAGCATACTTGGTTTCTCTTTATAATATGAAAACAAAGTAAGTGTTGAATGAAAATAAATGAACAAAAAGTTAACACTTTCTTTGTCCTCTGCCAAAGACAATGCAGAAGTAGTTTGTAGTGATACTGTGCTTAAGTTTGTGGATCATTGCTATCTAAGAAATGGCACTGATAACTTATGCTAGTTAGTCTTTTTAGGGGAATTCCCTTTGAGATTAGAACTGGCACAGACTCATGTGTCAGCTTCAAAATGGCAATAAGCAAAGAGGGCTCCATCTGGGGATGGCCGGTCTGATTAATTCCTAGAATCAAATGAAAATGAGCTATTTTCTCTGAATGACTAAATTGGATTATTTTCTAGTAGGTTCAAAAGTCAATTCAACAGTTAATATTTCCAAGTTAAACTTAGATTTCCCCACACACAAGTAATTCATTTTTAAGGGAATTTTGACTTAGCTATCATATTGGTATAAATGGGGAGTGGTCAGAAACACATTTTTGCAGAGTCAAGAAATAATTTCTGTTAAGATCATGGCTCTGCCATCTCAGAGTGCCAGCATGCCACCGTGAGTCTCTTATCAGGGACTTGACCGAAACAAAGTGTTTCAGCTTGTAGGTATGGAGAGGAATCTCCTGTTTTGTTTTAGAGATGACTGAGTAAGAGAAAATTGGCAGAGAAAGAGTGAAAGAACTGAGCAAAAACAGCCCTTGCAAACCCACCTGGGTATGCTGGTCGGAGTAGTTGAAAGGCAAAAAATTAGCCAGCGAAACTGACCTCCAAATTACTAGAATACGGACGAGAATTTCATAAATGCTGAATCAAAAATGACCAGATCTTCAGTGGAAAATAGTCAAGGTTACAAATGAAAGAATTAATCAAATCAAAATCCAGAGTGCAATATGAATTGAGACGGAAAGCAGCAGCATGATATAGTTTTTAACAGGAAGTCCCCAATAATCCCTGAATATTTCATGTGTAGGGCACTGAGTGATAGCACTGAGTACTTGTTGTGGTCTAGGCAGGTGATCAGAACTTTTATTTTTACATTCCAGTTTACATTTACATTTAGTTACACTTACATTTATAATTTCAGCCACTTTTCAAAATTGTCAAGGAAAATGGTACTATATTGTTACCTCTGTGAAACTGAAGCTTAGAGGTAAAGTGTCCTGTTTCATATCACCCCACTGGGAGGGGTAGATGCAGGATTCCAAACCAGATCTTAAACTCCCTGAGCCTGTGGCTTCACTTATATTCTGTGCAAGGTAAAATTCTGGTTTTTTTTTTCATATAAGAGAACAATTTGAGGTTAAGGATTAGAAGGCAAAGGGTAAGAATAAGCAGATTTGCTTGCTACTCTAAAATCTAAAGTGAAATTCTTTCTTACACCCTTATGGAGGAGGTGGTGAAAAGGGATTTTCTTTTGTCCAGGGATTTAATAGGAAGTCCCCAACATGTACTTGACATGACTGCACATGTGTGGTTTTCAACACAGCCTGCCGTGCAGTGGCCAGGTGGCACTGTGTAGGCAATGCTTCTCAACCAGCAGGGTCAGCAGGGTTTGGAAGGGCTCTAGAGCCACCCCTGGGGAGTCCGCAACCCCAGTCAAGATACATAACGGTTTCTTCCCCACTAGGATCCTCGGGCTGCCCTCTTATAATCTCTAAGTTTAAACCATCCAGTTTCTATTTTGAGTATTAATGCACTTATATTGGTGGGACTTTCTCTGTTTTTTTTTTTTTTTTTTTAGTGGGAACACCATGGACCCATAATCTAGGAGACGTGGGTGCTCCGACTGCTGACTGTGACATGTAATAATTGGGTTATTTTATATATATATATATATATTTTTTTTTTTCAGTACCACAAAGCCAGGCACTGAACTTCTCCACACTTTAATTTTCTCATCTATAAAAGCAAAGATAAAAAATACCTAAAATGTTTTGCTATGTGGACCAAATGAGATTAAGTAAATATGGTTTGAAGAAAGTAAAAAAAAAAAAATTTTTTTTTGACTCATGGAACCCTTTTATCTTTGCTCACGTCCCATTTCCTTTTAACCATATAGAGACTCAACTGGTACCCAAGAGCTTTACTGACAGAAAAGAATTATATGAAAGGAGCATGAAGGGAGGTGTAATCAGTGGAGTTATGCCTGCCCCTCAAAAAAGATTTTGAAGTCCTGCCCCATAGTACCTCTGAATGTGTCCTTGTTTGGAATAGGGTAGTTGTAGCTCTATAATTGGTTAAATTAAGATAAGGT